AACTTTATACGCATTACTAGTTAATATTAATAATAATGTCTATAATACCTCTATCTTATAAGAAGATCTACTATAGTCTATATATTATAGATACGTAAAAGAGAAAGACAGAGTACTTAAAGAGCTTATTAAAGCTAAAGTTAATAGACTTTACTATATCTCTTATAACTTTATATATAGTAGTTATTACTTATAAATTAAGTTAGTAGACTATAAGATAAAGAACAATCTTCTCTATATTAATAATAGAGTCTTTATCTCTAACGTAGACTAGCTCTACACTAAGATAATAGAATAAGCTTATTATACCTTTTATAGTAGTTATAGTAGTAAATATAAATTCTATTTAAAGCTTACGTAATAGTACTATTAGTCTAAGATAATATTAGATATCTTCTACTACTTATATAACTATCTTACTTATAAATATATAAAGAGCTATTATAATAGTAAATATAGATTACTTTATCTACTCTCTATACTATATCGCTATTAGTTATACATCTCTATAGACTTTATTACTTACCTTTCTCTCTACTAGTATAATAGATAAGTCTTTACTAATATACTAGTAGTAGTTAATTAGTTAATAAAGAAGAAGAAGTTTATCTCTATAGCTATACTTATAGTTAATACTCTAGTATAAGCGTTTGTAGAGTATATATAAAGAGAAGAAAAATACCTAAAGAAGATAGTATCTAACTAAGGTAGCTAGTTTATAAGCTACTTTTAGAGAAGGCTATACTAATAACTAGAAATACACTCTAAGTACTCTACGTCTTTCTACTCTTAGACTAATAAGCAAACTAAGAATATAAATATATATCTTAAATAGTACTTAAGAGCCTATATTAACTATAAGTAAGATAACTAGGCTCTCTACTTACTTATTACTAAATTTAAAGCAAATTTAATAGTAAGCGCCTCTACTAGAGTTATACTCTTCTTTACTACTAAGAGCTATAAACTATAATCTAGCCTTAAATCTATAATTACTTATACCTCTACTAACGCTGCTTTTATTTATATAGACTAAGCCTAGGTAGACTAGCTTACATAGAAACTAAATAGCTTATAAAAGAAACTCTAATACTTACTATAATAGACCTAGGCGAAATAAGCTAAATATACTAATAATAATTAATTACTAGCATCTATATTTTGTATAGGTAACTAAGTTATATTAGACACGCGTAATATCTAGACAACCTAACTAAACTAGTTCTTAGACTTTAAGAATAGAGAGCTGTTCTACGTCTTATAAGTAATTAATAATATAGCTTATAAGCTAGAACTACCTATAACTATAGAAAAGATATATAATATCTTCTATCTATAGCTTCTTTACCTCTATAATAGAGACTCTCTACTAGAATAAGTAGTTAATAAAGAATAACCTATAGAGATTTATTCTAATATAGAGAATAAGAAGAACTATTCTATTAAGAGTATTAAAGACTATTAACTTAATACTAGGCTCTTTAATACTATAGTTAAGCTCTACTATAAAGAGCTACTATAATACCTTATATAATAGTCTAGATATCTAGAGAAATCTAATAATCTATCTTAGAAGCTTTATATAAACCTTATTAGTAGCGTAGACCTAGTTACTACTTACTATAATATATACTTAGCAAAGCTACTACTTTATATTAAGTTTAAGACCTTAGTAAGCTAACAAGAGCTAATAATGCTAATACTAAGTCTAACCTCTATTAATTATTGCCTTACTAACAGCTTGTTGTAAGCGTTTACGTAATACTCTAGCTATACATATTACTATAGCTAGAAAGAACGCCTTTATAGTTATATTCTACTTTATACTATAATAGTCTTCTAGAGTTATAACTAAGAGAAGATTATTACTCTTAGAGTAGTTCTTAAAAAGGCGCTTATAGGTCTATATACTAGAATAGAGGTTGCTAGTAGTTAAAGATAATACTAGTCTTGCCTTTAGAAGGCTACACTCTAACACTACTATATAATCTTACTATAATAGTATCGTAACTTACTATAATAACTTAAAGATTACCTACTTACTAACTATTAAACTAGACGCGCACGTAACTATCTCTTACCTTACTATATATCTATTACTATACTAATTATTGCGTTCTCTAAAAGCTGCTTAAAGTAACTAAAGAATATAAGTAGAGAATAAGAGAATAAGAGATAGATATATACACTATTTAGTCTACGTAGCTTTTGTAAATAGGTATTATATTTATATTATAATTATACTAACTTATATATTATATAAAGTAAAAAAGAAATATTAAAGTATTAGAACTTACTTTTTTTAAAGAGAGAGGTAGTATAAAGAATTAAACCTATAATCTCTACCTAATTAGGCTTAGCTCTATATTAGGCAAGTAGTCTATATAAAAAACTTTAAAACTTCTATATATACCTAGATAGACCTATATATAGAATCTTAATTATTACTTAACTTAACTATTACACTATATAACGTAGCTTTAATAAAGTTACGTTTTTCTACTATTAGAGCTACTAGTAGTACTTTAAAAAGCTTAGTCTCTATCTACTAGAGCTATATATACTATATATTTATAAATCTTTATTTAGCGTATAAAAGGTCTAGCCTCTACTTTATAAATAGCCTACTTAGTATAAAAAAAATAACTAATATACTAGAGCTACTATTAAGTATCTTTAGTATTCTCTTTACTTCTAGGTTAAATCTTATAGTACTTAGGTTCTTTTATATATTTCTAATAGTAAATATTATTACGCTCTTAATAAAAAGAATAGTCTTACTTAGAATAGTACTTAAACTATTTTTATAGTTACTTACTACTATAATTAGTATAGTAAAAGCTATTATATACTTAATAATAAAATACTTTTTAGAGAGGTTATTAGAAGTACTAATTATAATATTATTTATTATAGAGAGAGATATCTTTAAGAGAATATTAGTGTTAGTATTAAGTTTAGTTAAAGTAGTACTTTAGTATAAAGTTCTTAGAGATATAAAGAGTTCTTTAAGATAGAAAATTATTAGATAAAGAAAAAGAAAAAGAAAAAAAGTATTCTTTATATATAAAGCTTTTTATAATTCTCTCTAAGCTACTATTCTTTATACTATAGTTTACCTACGTAAATATCTTTTTATATTTTATAGTAGTATAGTACTATAATTTAATATTACTCTAGATCTAAAGTTTACCTACATAGCTACTTAGACTTCTACCTATCTACTTTTATAGCTAAGAGAAAGGCTTTATACTCTAACTTCTACTCTTTCTACTAAAAGCTTTCTTTTAGAAAGCTTCTATATTAACTTTTAAGAATATTTTAATATTTTTATAGCTCTATAGCTCTATCTTACTTATTACTACTTTTAAGTCTACTTTTAAGTCTACTAGAGATACTTTTATTACTATTACCTCTATAAGTATATTATTATTATTATTAAAGTACTATATCTATAGTAAATATTAGAGAAAGAGTTTTATTAATACTTATAGCTATATATAGTAAGTATAAGATATTTAAAAAATATACTTATATTAAGATTACTATATAGAGTTACTAACTACGTTTTATTACTTTACTTTATATTAATACTTTACTATAATAAAGTTACTACTATCTTTATTTTTAATAATACTTTTAATAATATTATTAAGCTTTTTATATACGTAAAGCTAAAAACTTTTAAATAACTTTATAAAAGAGTCTTTACTAATAATACTACTACTACTAATAAAATAATTATTAATATACTTATAGATAAATTCTAAAAAAGAGTATAAAAATAAGTAAAATATATTTTAGTTAAAGTCTAAAGTAAGTAAAAGTAATAGGTAGATTAAGTAAACTAGTAATTAATAAGCTTATAGGCATGCTCTAACGTCTTCCGCAGCGTGACATTAGGCTAGAACTACATCTTAACCTTTATGACGTGCATCTTACTAGTAAACTATAGGATAAGGCATGCAACTATAGACTAGTCGAGACATTCCGATAGAGTGGTAATAGGCACCGCCACCTGGTGTCTTTACCCATTGAGAGGCCGATGTTCACCGGCAAGGACTTCCAGCCTCGCGGAAGCCAGTGTGGGGGCCGGCAGAGTCGCCACACTGTAAGAAGAGGGTGACCGGAGGGCAAGGAGGATGCATTGGCAGCGGATGCTATCGGGCCTTCCCCTCCACCAAAAGCAAGAACCCTGGCTGTTGGAGATCCCTTCGCTTGCAGCCGCGAGCCAACATGACATAGGACACGCTCCGCGAACCCCTCTTCCTCCAGTCTATCCTCTTGCCTACAAGCAGCTCTTGTCAATGTCGCTCCCTTGTCTGACCGACATCGAGATCGCGCACAAGCATATGTGCCGCCTTGCATCATCCGTGTGAAGATAGCCATGGCAAATTCGTCCAGTGCTCGGTGCGCCATGCCGAAGCTAGTCGTTGATGCTGGTGCTGCTCCAAAAAACTCTGTCCTGTCGCAAGCAGATGCTGCGGTACCCGAAACCAGGCTCCACTGATAGAGTCGTCCCAAGTTCGCTTCTATCTCCGCAAAGGCCCCTCGCGTCCGGACATGTCAGCTGGCCCATGCCTCCGGGACCTCGATTCGAATTCCCACGTGCGGCACAGCCTGTCGGACGCGACCTATTCATCTGTTACAGCCCATCGGCTACTGCAGTAGGCGTTTACCTCCCAATCTAGATCCAGTACGAGGCCAATCGAGCCTCTTCGTCGTGGTCGCGCATCGATCCTTTTGGATGTCGCCTCTGCGTTTGCCACCCTACCGAAAATCATCCATGGGCTTTCATCTTGCCGAACGCAAACTAAGGCAGGCACGTTGAACGTCGCGACGGGCGCCAACGTCACAGCTACCTAATCCGAGCCCGCTGTTCTTCTCCCTCGACATTGGTGGCTAATCATATTACTTTCCCACCCGGCCCAGAGAATGGAATAACTAACTCGTCCTCGGAGCCCGCGCGGACTGCCTCTTCATTCCCCTCGTGATCAACCATGGCCCGCGCCGCTACTGCCACCTCTTCCAACAACAGAGACGACCAAGATAACTCACAGGCGCAGGACACAAAAGCCAGTAAGCGGCGCTGTGTCCAGTCGGCCTGTGTGCCCTGCCGGAAACGCAAGTCCAAAGTAAGCATCAATCTTCCCACTGCATGCACCAATTCCACATTGAGCTCCTACATCTGGCCCGATGCTGGAGATTCGCCTCCGCGGAAGGCTCGTCACCAGCGAGGATTATCCGCAACTCTTGTTTGGGCCATTCTCCGGGCAACTTTCCCGGTCCCTCGCCAAGTGCCCTCCTGCTGACACCTCATCTACAGTGTGACGGTGGTACACCCGTGTGCGCGACTTGCACTGCCGTCTACAAGACTGAATGTCATTACGATGCTGAGAGCGAGAGTCGTCGCACTAAGGCTACTCCGACAATCGCAAACAGTACTGGGATCAAGCGCGATGCCTCCCTTGTCGCCGCCTCCAGCCCTGAGAATGCCTCGAGCGCCGAATTTATTGTCAATTCGCTGAGACGTCTACCTGAGGAGCATGTCCAAGAGTTTCTCAATCATATTCGAAGAGACCCCAGCCTCGACGTCACCTCCCTAGCTGAAACATGGCGCAAGAACGTGACGCTGACGCAGAGCGAGCCCGTCGACGTTCAAAGCCTCGAGTCAGATCTTAGTGTGCTGCTTGGGAAGCCATCTGTTACATCCACCGGCCAGAGCAGACACTTTGGACATTCCGCAAGCCTAGGCCTGGTACCCGAAGATGAGGATTTCGGTGGCGGGCGGCTGCGTACCAACAGCGTGAAGCTAGAGCGTCAAGGGTCAACATGGACCAACGTAACCGATGACCTGGCTTTTGTTGAGACGCTGCTTGACCTCTATTTCACCTGGAGTCATCCCTTCTATGTGCTCTTCAGCCGAGAGTGCTTTTACAAGGACTTCAGAGCGGGACGCGACAAGTATTGCTGCTCTCTACTGGTCAATGCTATATGTGCATATGCATGTCATCTCACAGAAGACCCTGCAGGTCGCACGGATCCTGACAACTTCCGTACTGCAGGCGATCACTTCTTTGCCGAGGCCAGGCGACTTCTGTTCGAAGATGAAACCCCGAGCCTGACGACTGTTCAGGCGCTCTGCATCATGTCGATGCGTGAGCCGAGTACAGGGAGAGAAAGTTCAGGCTTTTCGTACATGGGAAGGTGTCTTCGTATGTGTGTTGAGCTTGGTCTGCACTTGAACTATGGCGCCAATTCTGCGCTTGGCTTGACACCAAGTGAGATCGAAGTGAGAAAGGTCACATTCTGGGGCTGCTTCACTGTGGATACGTGAGTTATCTTGGCTACTTTTACCCCGACTGGGCTAACTCGACGCAGAATCTGGACGATCGTTACTGGCCGCATATCTCAGCTTCCTCGAGCTGCCATTACTCTCGAAAAGCCTATGCTGGAAGAGACGTCTGACCTTCCTGAGGCTTATCCCGCCCCCTCACAAATCGCAGGAGGCGGAGTCGTAACCATTCGCATGTTCCTCCAGGAATTCACATCGCTCGCGGAGCTCGTCAATGACAACAACCACATGTTCTTTGCGCCGAAAGAGCGACTTACGAGCAGTAAATTGCTTGATTTTTATCATAAATACCAAGCCTGGTATAGACAACTGCCAGCTTTGATAAGCCTGGAAGGAAAGAAGGAACCCGAGCCACACATCTTGGTACTACAGTATGTCTGAACATCCATGCTTACTTTGCGAACAGAACTGACACTACACGTAGCATGCTTTACTGGACCATCATCGTGCACCTTTTCCGGCCTCTGCTCAAAGTCGATCTTATTCATTCCGATATACGCCCCCGCGACATCTGCGTAGATGCGGCCAACAAAGTGTCTGAACTTGTCCGGATCTACCGGCAGTTCTACGACTTTCGTCAAGCTCACCTGCTCATACCACACGTATTACTCACTGTCTGTGTTGTGCACTTGCTATATTCAAAGGATAACAGCATTTCTCGCCAAAACCTCATCGAAGGCATGCAGGGCCTAGAAGATCTTCACGAATGTCACTATTTCGGGGCGAGGAGTTTCCGCGTCATATACACCCTTGCGAAGACGTGGAAATTGCCCTTTCCTGAAGAATTAGGCAACTCCTCGTTGATACCGACAAGTGACCCCAACAAGCCCCAAGGTACTATCAGTCCTCCGACAGATCCTCTTATGATACCTCCCAATACAACAACTATCACCGGCAATCGGATAGGACCTGGCCGTCTCCATCCACCTATTACTCAGAGGAGGGAGAGCCTGTCGATGTTTGCTCCTCAACCAGGGTTGCAATTGGCTACACATCCCGCCAATTCGAGGCCGAGCAGTGTGGTATCGAGCCAACACCAACCATCACCTGTTGTAGGGCACACACCCACCCATCATAATTACAATACAGGAATGGCTTTACCGACGTATCAGTACTCGCAGCCCATGTCATCCGCCCCCAACATGTCTACGGCAATGACATCTCCATCTACCGATACGGCAGAATCCATGTTTTGGAACCCTATTCCTGGAGTACCAGGACCGATTCTGCCACGTCATAACTATCAGCAAATAAGTCCGATGGGTCTGGAGAGTGTTCTCCACAACACAGACGTAGGTGATCGTCTTGGTCGGGATGGTTTCAAGATCAGCGAGGACTGGCGATCGAGCCATATTAACGGCTTCAATCACAATATTGGAGGCAGTGTATACGGCAACCCGCATAGCCAGGCAGACACTGGATATGCGCACCGAGGGAGCTACGTGCAGCCGACAGAACATGCGAGCTACCCGCAAACTACACATGAGGGGCACCACCATGCGCCCCAAGAGTACGACCCGGGATGGTGGCAGAACACGAACGGAAACCAAGGTCCGATGAGTTGACAGATGGATGGTTTCAAGATTGATGATGGGAGCATATCTCACTTGATGCAGCAGTTGGTTCGGTGAGCTTTATTGGAAGAAGCTCATACATTCGAGGCTTGGGGGATTCCGAGTGGCGTTGCATAGCGGCATCATCTAGCGGGGCTAAGGCGTACAGGTACTGAACTACGAGTGTATTTTCTCAATGAAGGCGTTCATGGTTGGTGGACTGAGAGCTCGTACGGATGTGCAAGGTAGAAACTAGCAATAGTAGGCAAATGTCATGTGTTCCGTGTATCCAAGGTCCATTCCACGTGCCTCTTTATTTTTCTGCGCGCATGAATTAATGAGACAGAATATAATGGCAGATACAAGAACATGAATGTTTGTATTAAACACATTGCAGCTACATAGAGACATGTGTAGGTAATATAGTTGAAATGCTGAGATATGAGAGGGTATAGATCTAAATGAAGGAAAAGCCGGGGGAAAATATACAGGCCCAATTAACGGCAAAGTATGCAGCACGCCGGCGACATCGACTCAACATTACACCTCACCCTGAAAACTAGCAACACACTCAAACACCCTTTTGCTTTGCAGTCTGGACAAGCACACTAGCAGTCCCAGCACGCTCTTCATACAAGCGCCTCAGGTCCTCGACTGACTGCTTTTTGAGGTTCATTTTCTTTGGCTTCAATGTTCGTCCTCTTGCAACCCCAGTCTCGGCGTCTGCGTCATCTTTCTTTGGTTGGTCTTTGGCGAAGTTCTCGAAGCTGGGCATGCGTTGCATGAGGCTTGGACTCGGGGTACGGAGACGGGGCGCAGCAGCCGGAATAGGGAGCGTGGATGCTTTGGTGGGTGCGTTGATAATGGGAACTTGAGGCGTCACCGGGTATACGGGTCGGGCGAGTGAGTTGATGCTGGGGCTACGGCTTGTTGTTGATGATGTTGCGGAGAATGGAATGCTTGGACGGCGAAAGGCAGGTTCTGACGCTGGTGCCGAGACTGCGCTTTGGGGAGAGGTCAACTGAGGCGAACTCACGCCCTCGCTCGATGCGTACGTCGAGGATGGACCTCTCTTCGCAATAGAGTTGTTGCTGTAGTAATTACCTGTAAGACCTGGAAGCGCCATGCCGCCCATGGGGTGTTTGTAAGCTTCATCCTGTGCGACGACGGCCTTGGAGACATTGTCAATCTGCATCGCAGTCAGGGTTTTCCTCTTAGGAATGTTGAGTCTAGGCGCAACAGTAGGAGGAGTAGCAGTAGTAGTAGAAGAAACGTGAGAAAATGGCGCATCTTCTTGTGCGCGAGTAGATGCTGACATAGGAAGGACTGGAACTGGATTGCTCGTACCAGACTTCTTCTCATCCGGTTGTGCACTCCATCGCGATGATACATTAGGGGGTTGGCCGATGCGGTTGTCGTCGTTTCGTGGTGGGGCGAAGCCATCGGTGGTGGCAGCGTAAGTTATGGGTGACTCGGCGACGTCTTCAGGCGCGTCGGATATGACAGTAGAGTAGCGAGGTGGTACTGAAAGGGGCGGTGCAGGTTTTCGCTGAACAGAATCGGCAGAGGATTTGGCCGACGGTGCGCGTGAGCGTGGAGGCAGAGGAGGCGGTAACGGCTCGCCTTGTGTTTCCTGTGGTTCGTGATAGGTAGGCATCTTCTCATTGTCGAGTAGCGTTATACCGCTCATCTGATCTTCCAATGAGCCTTTGCTATCTGCAGAGTCACGCTTCGCATCCGCAGGGTCCTCCCAGTCGTTCTCGTCTTTGGGTAGCTCGAGCTCGCTGTAGAAAGCCTCCTCGTTCTGCCCGCATGCTTCTCTAAGCCCCTCGGTCCACATGTCGACTGCCTGGGTGAAGATCCTTCTTATTATTGAGGACATTTTGGCGTCTTCAAGCTGATCAGGTCCACACAGTAATCCAGGTGCAAAGCAAACAGCGAGGTTTTCGGCCGTCATCTTGTTTTCTTCTTGTCGTGCGGCCATGGCACTCATGAGAGGCAGAAGATGCCTGCACAGGATCTCGCGGGATATGCCAGGTAGCAGGGACCACTCCGAAGTTGGCGAGAACAGGTCGGTCAGTTTGTCGAGTTCAAGAATCTCCTGGCTGTCGCCATAGAGTCGCTTCAGGTCCCGATATGAGTCGGTTGGGAAGATAGGCTGGCGCAGAGATGCATACCATGCTTTGATCAGAGCTGCTGCCATGAAGACCGAGTATGCGTCGGTGGGGGCCACCTCAGCTAGTATCTCGTCTTGATGTTGGGCGTGTGGGTAGGGTGGTACAGGCAGTGTCACCTCGTTGTCCTTCCAGATGATGTATTTCTGGCCCCTATCGTATGCTTCCTTCAATGCATCGCGCAGCCTTGAGTGTGGTGGTACGCGGAACAGGCCTTCCGAGGTGATGTTCTGCTCCATGAGCACGAAGCTGGTCGTCTCTCGCAGCACGCGTGGAAAGCGTGTCTTGCCATTACTGCCTGTGGGAAAAGGGGCGCGGGCGCCAAATGCTCGTTTCCCGCTGCCATTGAAAGCGGAGATGTGTTCGCACACGCGACGGTCGGCAAGATAGGTCGAAGGAGGGATAAGCAGGTTCTCGATTTGGATTTCGCGGGCAAGCTGCGTCAGGTTGGATACTAGAAGGAGTCAGCATTGCTCCGCGCTGCGGGGTTGTGAATACGCACGATGATAGATCTTTCTCCTGAACTTGGGGCTGACAATGGTAGAGAAGATCTCGGTCAGTATCCGTACCCAAGCTTTCTCGTGCACAATGTACAGGCGCTGGAGCCTCTTGCGCATGGCCCTGGACAGGACATGGTACGCCTGCAGAAACCAGCCCCAGCCAGGCCGGTGCTTCTTGTTTGTCGCTGAGCCATCGCCATCGCCGGCAAAGAAGACGACCTCGTATTCGAATCCCTTCAGCAGTTCGTCTTCCTCGGGCAGGCGCGCAAGGACATAAGGTAGCAGGGAGTCGTAGTCGGCTTCGTGCGAGTCGGGGAGAGCGGCGGCGTTGAGGATGAAGACGGGCCTTCCCTCTTGCGACGGCAGCGGCGACCGGTAAAGAACGGAAGCAGCGATTTTGGCCAGGTCTGGTGAGTAGTTGGAACTGTGCTGTGGTGGGGGTACTGCGGAGAGCGAGGAACTGCGCAGCCGACTGGCGATGTGGGCACGCACGCCGCTCATGGCGACGAGTGAGGGGGCTGGCAAGCTTCAGTCAGGTTTGCCGCTGGCAGTAGGAAGGAACCGAGGGCGAATCAGGAATACGAGCACGTGCGGACAATATACATGTAGTGGAAAGGGTCGACGGACGGCCTGAGGCGGTGCGGTGCGGCTTATGCGGAGATGCAGCACCTCAGCCTGCATCTATAAACAAACCTTGGGTACGTCACTGTCATGAGCGCCACGAGGGTCTCAACTTTCTTAGCGCACCCAAGCACGGACGTGGCTGACTCTGATTTGACTCTATTACTCCAGAGTCCCATGTGTTTCAGATGCCGCGTCGCCTGTACAGGGAAACTCTGCATGTATGCACCCTTGCAGACGACGCGTGGGGCTGCACATGTAATATCACGCATTACTATCAAGACATGACATCCATGAATCCATCAGATTAGGCATCATGTGTCGCCTGGGCAGCAAACTCTACTTCCAAGTATCCAGCGTCATTCCGTGACGTGAGACGCGTTTGCTATGATGCGTTCCCGTTGATCAGGTCGCACAGTGCGCACAATGACTCTTCAGCGCTACTCGTCCGTTTCCGAGCCAGTGCCATTGCCATCAACTGCTTGCTCGTCGAATACTATTTGCACGCCTTCTTGATCCAACCTCTGTCGTAGAACCAGAAAGCGTCGTGTGTTCTCCTCAAATTCCTCTATGCTGCTGCCCGCTGCTTCCAACGCCCGTACCAAACCCTGATTGTCATCACCTGGCCGTATAAGCCCATCTATCCCTATACGTTCAAAGTAGGATCGAAACTGCTCAAGTTCGGCGAGCAGCCGTTCTCGTAAGGCGGGGTCATGAGGGCGCCCAGCTACAGAAGAATCGTACGACGCTATATTGTCATCGGGAGCTAGTGGATCGGAAACGGATGTGAATTTGGACTTGACGTGAGGGTCAAGAAGGGCCATAAGCGTTTGGTTATCGGAAAGGATGACATGTCGGGCAAGGTCCGTCTCTGGTATCTGCGCAAGCCAGTATGGATCCTCTCCTGTTCCCAGCTCTTCTTCAAAAGCGTAGCACATCTCCACTAGCAAAGTCGTCCCTTCGGTGTTGTTCCACAGGTCTTTTGCCTTGGGTACATATAGCTGACATAGCAGCTCTTGATACTCGCCGTTTGGCTCCTTTCCCCACACAGGTTTTGGTATCGGGGAAATGTCCAGCTCCTTGCACAGCCGCGCTGCTAGCCATGGATATTCTTTGATTGCGTTGCGCAACGTTGAGCGTGCTTCCTGTGGCTGTTTGATGCGATCGTGAGCAAGCGCAACGCTGAAAGCGAGATTCGGTGGAACCTTCCACTGTCGCTGGAGGTAGTCTGCTTCGACCAGGTTAACTAAGGCGCCTGGTTCTCGCCCTCTCAAGGCTAGTTGATCGATGAGGAGTCGAAGACAGTAAGGATCATTCTCAGGGTCCATTGCAAGTAGCATCTTAGCCCACTCGAACGATGTTCGCCACGTCGCACGAATACCTAATGTATTGATGTAGCGCCATACTGCAAGCCAGAACTCGCGGTTTTCTGGACGGCGAAAGTCCAACCGGGCTTTACCAGCCGCCAGGTTCGCAGAGAAGGTAGAATGTACGGAGCGCCCAAAAGTGAAGAGAGCGCGCTCCAACATCTCGGACGCAGCAGCAGGTTCTCGCTGTTGCTTAGCGATCTCTGAGACTTGAAGCAGAGTGGAGATGTGGAAGGCTGTGAATGACGTTAGTACTTTAAATGACATGGAAAGTGGCTCAACTTACGGTTGTGGTGCAAGAGTTGGATCATACGCTCAGAATCCATACTTGCGACACAAATCTGGAACTGCCGCTGGACATCTTGATACATGTTGTTGTGAACAAATCTGTATTCGACAGTGCCGTCCGCTCGTTTTTCGACAATTTCCATGCCGAGGCCACCAGATGTAGCTCGTGGCCACTCCTCTTTACCTTGGATGAAGATGTTCCGTCGAAGTCCCAACGATGCAAGGTTGCGATTACCAGGAGCGTTACGTCCTGCAATTGCAGCAGCGATGCCACCTTGCTGACCACGTTGTCGAGGCCGCGCCTCGTCTTCGGCACTTTGCACAGCGGCTCGACCGAAGAGCCTCTTCATCTCGTTTGCGGCATGTAAATGTTGCGTGTCCACACTCAGCACAGAGAAGAGTTGCTTCTTCTCTTCGCTAATGGGGTCGTGTTGATCTGATCCAGGTCCCGTTTGGCTGTTCATAGAGAGGTTGAGGGCAAGCAATGCCCGATCAATCTCATCAAGATCTGACTTTCCTGTGGTAGAGGCGGAGGGCTTGTCAGAATCTGCAGCTTTGCCCTTGGCTTTGGCCTTCTTTTTCTTCTTCTTGCTCTTCTTTGAGGTTTTCGATGCAGGCATAGGCTCGACCTCCGCGTCGTCATCGGAATCTTCGGCCTTGCGCGCGGCGTCTTGATCTGTTCCTTCGTCCTCTTCGTCTTCTTCATCTTGGTCGCCACCATCGCCCAACATAGCAAACAGGCTGGGTTTCGCCTTTGTCTTGGGGGCTACCTCAGGCTCCGACTCTTCCTCGTCTTGGTCATCTTGGGCAAGCTGTTCCTGTATCTGCTTCTCTTCAAGCTCTCGCTGGGCCCGCCGCAACGCTCGTGAAGACATTTTGGAGTGTCGAAAATTAAGTGTTTGGGGTAACGTGATGACGTCGTAGTGGTTTAGAATGTTCGCAGGGGATGATTGGGTCCCCGCTTTAAGCGCTTGGACTAGGCGTTCTCCCAGCCTGCACCATGATTTCACCCGTGGACTACTGTTGCTGCCAACCTCACTCCCAATCCCCTTCACCCCACCTGCCAGATGCGGGCTGCCTTCCAAGTGCTTCGCTCTGCACGTCGCCCGTGCCTGCGCAAGCTTGCCCGCAGCCGTGTCGGCGTCTTTGCGCCGAGCAATGGCCTAGGCTTCCGGGCTCATCACCACTACCGCCAGCGCACCTCGCCCATCGTCCTCGCGTCGTCGATGCAGTTCCGCGCCCTCACAGGTGCGCTAGTGGCTGCCGCCGTCGCCTCGGGTGCCTTCTACGCTTACAACGACAAATCCTCAACAGGACACGCGCAGTCCCCCGCCGACCAAGCCAGGAACCTGACCAGCGCCCGAAGCAGCGAGCCCGCGCGCAAGGCACTGGTCGTTGGTCCCGGCGAACTCTACACAGGAACCATCACTGGGCCCATCTCGAAAGAGACGGATGACTACGGCAGGAAGGTGCTGGAGATGCTGGACCCCGACCAAGCCACAGCCAAGCTGAGGAAGAATGAGGAGTCGTGGCTCGTGGGCAGAGGGCAGGGCGTTGTGCGGTACGACGTGGTGCAGATTCCCAGCAACTCCCCCATCGAAGACGACCATGCCGAAAAGATCATCGAGGTACCATCGAACCTGGCAGCCACGGACAATGGCGCCTCGGCCAGCGACTGGATGTTCTGGGGCGTTTTCGACGGACACAGGTAGGTGTCGATCAGGGTCGCGTGTCTCGCCAGTGCTAACCTCGACAGTGGCTGGGTTACCTCAGCCAAGCTTCGTCAGACCCTCATCTCCTACGTCGCACGCGAGCTCAACACGACCTACAAGTCGGCCGTCGAGGACCCTGCGCTCCACTTCCCGAGCCCCGATGCTATCGACCGCGCCATCAAGACCGGCTTCACCAAACTAGACAACGAGATCGTACACGAATCCGTCAAGAAAGTCCGCAAGGCTCAATCCAAGATCGCTGCTGCTGAGTTGCTGGCCCCCGCCCTTTCCGGTTCCTGCGCACTCCTCTCCTTTTACGACAGCCGATCCAAGCTCCTGCGAGTCGCCTGCACGGGTGATTCTCGCGCGATTCTGGGTCGACGAGGGCCCAATGGCAAGTGGACCGTGACTCCCCTGTCTGAAGACCAAACCGGTGGAACTACAAGTGAGGCTGAGCGGTTGCGTCGAGAGCATCCGGGTGAGCCCAACGTGGTCCGGAACGGTCGCATTCTAGGTGGACTGGAGCCATCCCGGGCGTTTGGCGATGCATCCTACAAGTGGTCCGCCGAGACCAACGCCGAGCTCAAGAAGTCCTACTTTTCGCGATCGCCTTCAACACTACTCAAGACTCCTCCGTACGTCACTGCCGAGCCGGTCATCACAACTACCAAGGTAGAGCCAGAAAAGGGTGATTTCGTCGTCATGGCTACTGATGGTTTATGGGAGATGCTTACCAACGAGGAGGTCGTAGGCTTAGTTGGTCAGTGGCTCGACGCTCAGGGCAACCCGGCCAGTCAAGGTTCACAGACTCAGTCCTGGCTCAAGAGCTGGTGGTCCACACAAAAGCAATTGCCTGTCGAGCAGAAGGCAGCGGAGAAGGGAGAGGGTCAACGTGCACCAATCCGTCAGCAACAGTGGGGTACCAAGACTAGCCTGAACGAGCGCTTCGTGGTTGAAGACAAGAACGCAGCTACGCATCTTGTTCGGAATGCACTTGGCGGAAAGGATCAGGATCAATTAAGTGCTCTCCTCACCCTCCCAAGCCCCTTTTCGCGACGATACAGGGACGACTTGACCGTCGAGGTCATCTTCTTCGGAGAAGGCGCAGGCACCGGTAACGTCACTCGGAACCAGGAAGCTAGTGCTGCAGAACCAGAAGTCAAGCCCAAACTATAGAGCATCTTGTTGTTTCCAAATCTGAACATTTGTACGGGCGATATCCTTAGGCGACTGATGGTCCCACGGCGTTTGCGAGCTCTTCTGAGCAAGGCGTTTGACGGAAGCATGACGCGCATGGCAAGTTTGTTTTTCTGGTAATACGTAGCATGGCTTGGTCTCTGGACCCTGAATTGAAGTGAACCAGGTTCTCGGCCTGTCTGTCTGTCATTCCACGTGCCCGCGTGTTGTTGGAGCTTTCCCGGTTAGATTCCGCGATGTCCGCATGATGTCATCGTTGCGAGTAGAAGCATCACGAACTTATCATGAACTACAAAATTCAGTTTAAAAAAGCCCTCGAGTGCCAGCAATTGCCAGCCACCTAACCTCATCTGATCCTACCATCAAGTCTTTTATATCTACGATTACCCCGACAAATAACATGGCGGAGTCACTAGCAGCATTCCGTGACCGTAGGTCGAAAGATCTCCGTCAGCTGGCAGAGGAGCACCTGCAACATGAGTAAGTAGCGTTAGATTTACGCGTCGATTGGCGATAGCTAATTCGAAATAGCCTCAACCAACAAGACCGCGAAGTACTCAAAAGCGCTGGTGGAAAGGTGTCGATGCACGCTGGTTTCGCGTCAGCAGTCGGACTGGGTCTAGGAATCTACACAGCATATCGGCTGCGAAGCATGCGCCTTGCGTACTTCAAAGCTTTCCGCGCCGCGGAGAAGCCCGTAGAAGTACGCTTCGCTGACGGCCGTACCGAGCCTGTTCCAGACATCACAGCACAGATCTCTGGACCTTCGCGCTGGGGTGATGCAGCGACCTACTTCCTCTTTTCTGTTGGCGGTCTCTTCCTTGGAGGCGAGCTGGGTCTTTTGACAGGTACAGCAAGCGCAGCAAGGACCGTGACCAAAGACCCGGCCAGCAAGGAGAGGATTGAGAAGGCGTTCAAGAATTATCGGATCGATGTGTTGCAGAGGGAGATTGAGCAGCTGAAGGGCAAGAGTCGATTTGAAGAGTTCTTTAGCGGTGGCTCGTCTAGTGCATAGAGCCATCCCACGAAGAATGTACCCAGCGGTGAGATGTAGTCATGGTCGCGTACGCGTGTGGAGTTTCAATTAGGCGGTATACTTGCCCATCTTAACATGTACCTCAATATACATGGATTGCGTCGTTCATCAATGCAGAAACTCATCTATAGCCTAACGATCCCGAGTGACGGATGCATTGTTGATATGCCTAGAGATCTCCATGTGGGCCATTCTTGCAGCCACCCAATTTGATGGTTCCAGACTCGCGCACATGACGTGTCGCGCTAAAATGGTGGCGCGGCTGTTGCAGATCGTTGGATGAGAGCAGACACCCGCGTGGCTTGCAACCTTAAAACAGCGCCTTACGTCATGGCACTCTGCCTAACTAGGGAGTCCCGGATGGTCCGTTCGAGCGCTTGGAAAACAATCGTCGTCTGGGATTTCTCAACGGCAGCGGCTCTTCTCCAAAAAAGTATTGCTTCTTCATTGCATTCTCTCCGCATCCTTTCACCTGGGGAACTCGGACGTGGCTTTATTATACGACGTTGTAGTCGATACTCATTTACCCCGTACTCGGATCGGACGGCACTGCGCTGCACTGCATAGCAACCAAACTCGCCGGCGCTTTCACAGCATACGTCTGCACGACTGCACCATCACGACTATCGCTTGAGCAGGATTGACATAGCCAATATCTGTTCCTGCCTGCGAGCCCATAATTCGGTCGTCGATTTAAAGAACATATCACCCCTGCGGCGATCATGAAAGGGGCGATACTTTCCATGGTGTGGCTTGCTGGCCTCACTGCAGCCCAGAGTAGCTCGGCCTCGGTCTCTCCCTCAGTCATAACTTTATCTGGGTCGCAGCGGAGTCTGACGGGCGATGATGCGGCTCCAAACCCAACCGTCCCCTCGGATTTCGAGGGCAGCACCTTTGCGACAGTAACATCGGCCGCGTCGTCGGGAGCGTCTGGTAGCACAGCCTCGTCCAACGGCACGGCTTCGATCACAAGCAGCGCACCACCCGTCACAAACATCGGAGGAAACAACAGAACACTGACACCGACTGGCACCGAGACCGCTCCAGCGCTGCCCTCCAACACTCAGCCTTGCAACAACTACCTTGAGTTCTGCAACCGCAAGTACTCCAATATTACCGAAGTAGCTGCGCACAACTCGCCCTACACGCGAAAGAACAACATTGCGCGCAACCAGGAGTACGGCGTGACGCAACAACTGAATGATGGCATCCGCATGCTGCAGGGCTCAGCCCACTACGTCAACGGCACGCTCTACTACTGCCATTCTTCTTGCGACCTGCTCAACGCCGGTACCGTTGAAGACTACCTCCGCGAAGTCACGGCATGGGTAGCAGATCACCCCTTCGACGTCATCACGATTCTCTTCGGCAACTCCAACTGGGACGAAACGACCGATGACGGCAAGCCACTCGTTACATCTTCCAACTTCGCCGAGGCGATCGAGAAGTCCGGTTTGATCGAATACGTCTACCAGCCTCCCAAGACAGCCATGGAGCTCAACGACTGGCCAACGCTGGGCGAACTCATCCTCCACAACAACCGTGTCGTCACCTTCATTGACTACAATTTCGACACCGATGCGGTGCCATACTTGCTTTGGGAGTTCTACAACATGTGGGAGACGCCCTTCTCCCCAACCGACCCCGATTTCCCTTGCACGCTGGGTAGACCCGAGGGCATGTCCGAAGAAAAGATGAGGGAAATCATGTACATGGCGAACCACAACCTGAACGCCGAGATCTCGTTCGCTGGACTGAACCTCCTCGTGCCTAACGTAGCGGAGATCAACCAGACCAATGCGCTGGAAGGAGAAGGTAGTCTAGGTCGCATGACTAACACCTGCACCAGTATGTATCCCCTGACCCATTTTCTATCTTGCATTTTACTAACATATCCCCCCACAGCCAACTGGGACCGCCCACCAAACTTCCTCCTCGTCGACTTCTACAACCAAGGCCCCATCAACGGTTCCGTCTTCGAAGTCGCCGCCCGCGCAAACAACGTTACATATGACCGCGAGTGTTGCGGCACTGCGTCTCTGGGCAACGTGCTGCTCCAGCCCAGCGCCACGTACTTTGGTTTCGTGGTTGCGATTGTTGCCGCCTTGATTCTATGACCTTCTTCGACGGTTGAAGTCGTCTAATTGGATAGTTGGTATATAATACGGAGGAGGGATTTCAATGTGCACAAGCATGGCGAGGGCGTTTAGTGGTGGAGATCTTTTGTACTCTTTTTGCATAATGATAGCGATTCCAAGCGATTCTTCATACATTGAGAATATATTAAACTTTCTTAGCATTTTCTCACGCATAACTGTTCATTGATACATCATAGTCACGTTGGCAGAAAGTGACTGTACTGTATGTGTGAACATATCACCATGCATATCTGGAGCAATGTACGTGGGGGATCCTCAGTCATGGTGCAAGCCCACAACATCAGATCTAGTGAATTTCTATCCAGGATGCATTCACGCCGTGTCCCTTGAGGTGCACAGCGTCGAAAGCTCCTTGCGTGCGTCCGAGACAATGGCATGTCCGGTGGCGTTTTTGATTCAACCGCATAAAGGAGAACGCCATGTGAGTGCCATACTTACCTGCTGAACGATGATGCTACCAAATACTCCCACCAAGACCATAATATACAAGACATGCTTCACGCATTACAGGTACAGCGACTGAGCTGCGACCAGATCCCTGCGGACGAGTTCAAGTGCTGCCGTGAACTTTTGCTCAAGTTCCTCGCTTCCCATGACCTTGGAGGCCTGGGCCATTTGTCGAAGTAACTCTTCTAATCGTCTGAACAGACGAATTAGACTTCCCTCGTACACGTCTGTCATTTTGCTGTCTAGTGTTAGTTGTCGTCAAATGCGACAGAAACAAAGCGGACATACCAAATCTGTGCGAATGTCGCACCCTTTGACCAGGCGTAGACGACCTCCATCAGCTCATACTTGAACGACTTGAGGTACTCTTCCTCGTTGACTGTCAGCTTGCTCTCTTGAGACATCTTCGCGATAACCCTAGCTTGCTGCTGGATCTCGCGGTATGGCTTGGCAAGCTCTTCTTTGAGCGCTGGTACTTCTTGCGTCTTTTCCTCGAATATGAAACAACTAAGACAAGCGACGCACTGCTCTGGCGTCAGCTCATTAAAGAAACGGTTAAAGAGCAGCTCGCTAAGCACGAGCTCATCACCGGTGCTGATCTCGCAAGCGACACGGGCCTTGAGCTGCACGACGTCGGCTTCGTCGATGAAGCCGAGGCGCCGCAGCACACGTTTCCTGCTCTTCAATTCGTCTAGTTGAATGACCGACAGAGCGTTCGCAATCTCTTTCCTGATACTCTTGATCTTCTCACCAATCGCAATCTTCTGCGCGTACTGGCTGTACAATTCGGGTAGCCTAGGCGAGTTGTGAAGAGGGTTCGAGAGAAGACGGGACTCTAGCACTTCGATTTTCTGCAAAACGTTAGATAAGAATGCGAAATCTTGATAGTGAAGCTTACCCTTAGCAGCCTCTTGAAGCTGTCATCCTTGATGTTCATGTTCTCAATGGGATCCAAAATAGCAATTCCATCAGGGAAGCGCTTCTTGACCTCGTTCAATGCCTTGCGAACGTTATTCCGTTGCTCTGTCGACTTGAGCTCGTTGGGGAGGAAGACTCGGAGATGACCAATTGATTCGATGCAGTTCAGAACCACAGGGACAACCTCCATCTTGCCCTTGTCCCCTGTCGCAGGTGGGCGCACACCAGGCGGTAGGCCGTCATTTGCCGCTGGTACGAACTTGGTGTCGCTGCTGACCGGTAGTAGAACGTCGACAATGTAGGATTCTTGAGGTGGAAGAACTTCGCCCTTGTTAGCCTTGCGAGCAGTGTACGCTACCACAGCACCCCAGCCAAAGTCATAGTCCTTGAACTTGATCTTGACTAAGCGGCCACCCTGC